TCGTTAATGGTGGAATGTCTATTTGATATGGATACAATACTCAATCAATTTTAATATGATCATATGATATGTAAGTAATGTAATCAAATTTATAAGTCAATATTGGTAAATTTTAATGGATGGTTTTAACATTTGCTTGTTAATAATTGATCATATGAAACACCAGTTTATGATAACTTTTTGAAAGATCCCACGAGCTAGTAAAGATTGAAAAAATATTTGTAAAAATTATGGGAATTTCGATATCTTTATATAGTTTTCTAGTTCAGCGGTTAATTAATAATATTAGAATTTATTGAATTAATTTAACTGCAAATTCACAAATAAATAACACAGCGGGGAGTTGTTCTTATTATAATGAAATTCTATATAATTACATATCAATTAATTTAAAAATGAAACAAAGTAGATCATGTATTAGTACTTATACTTTGTGATCATATATATTTGATTAATACATGTACTCAATCAAAGTATGATATGAAAGTAATGTAATCAAAAAACCAATGCAGCTTCATTAAACGAAATTGAAAACAAAATTATGTGGTTTGAACATGAAAACATTTAAACAACACTTCAGATCAATTTAAATGGTTAAGACTATATATTAATTAATATCATATAAATTCAACGAATTATTGCTTCATGTAGTTGTTAAAAAAGTGATTTGAATAAAAGATTAATCGAATATTTTAAAAAAAAAGAGTAGAACTTTTGGGGAATTGTGCTCTTATATATTATATAAAACATTTTACGGTGCAGGTTTATTTTGTAAACAACTGAAATTTATACAGCGGCTAATTTTATTAGTAAACAAATTATATAAAAGTATAGAATCACATAGCTAGAGCGGCCATGGGCTGTTTATGAAATATATTCTAAAGATTAATTAACTACTTGTGAAAACATTAAGTAAAAGGAATTATTGGTTTATAAAGTATTGAGGTTGTTCCTACAATGCAACTAATTACATCAAATTTTAAAATGACAACAAAGTAAATTGTATATTAGATATACGCTACCTTGGAATGATTTATTTGATTAATACAATACTCAATCACTAATATATGAATATGATCTGAAGTAGTAATATAATCAAAAATTGGTAACATAGATATTCTATGATGTTTTGATTAAAACAAATTTACAAACATTATCAATTCTGTTAATGAATGAATCATAAGCTGGTGTTTAAAAGTCAAATTAATTCCTTAAACTATGATAATTGCAATAAAATTATAAATTTAAAGAATGGAAAATAAAAATGGGCTTCCCTCTTAATATATAATAATTTATTCGGCGGTTAATTTAGAAAATGTAATTAATATTTTATATCTCAGCGGCTAATTTTAAAACTAGAAAAGAAAAGAAGAGATAATTATGATGATAATCAAGAATTAATAGAATCAAAATATCAGATAACATATATTTTTCATTTCATAAATCTAAACTTTTTGTCTTTTATTACTTTCAAAATCTGAACCATCACTAGTTTGTCTTTCTTCAAATTCTTGCTTTGATTCATTAGATCTCCATCTTAAATCATAAGCAAAATGTTCCTTTTTAACAAAATCTTCACCAACACCAAATATATTCTCTCTAAATGTTAAAGTCTCACCATTTGGTTTCTGTGGATAATCATCCCATACAATTCCTCTTTCCCTCAAGATTGGTAATAATTTATAAACTATATCTTCAAAACTACCAGGTGATACAGCATAAGTGAAATTAAACCCATCAACATCACTAATATCAACCCATCTGGCAATAGTATCTGCAACTTCTTCACCTGTACCATAGAAAACTGGACCTAATCCACCAACTGTAATTTGTTTGGCAACAGATTCCCTAGTTTTCTTAAAATTTGGATCTTCACCTGGTCCAACTTTTGTCCAATTTGATACAATACCTCTTATAGCATTACTACCAACATCTTTTAATTCTTCGTGAGGTTCAAATTGTCCAATATTAATACCTGTCCATCCACTAAATAAAGCTTGGGCACCTTCTAAATCACCATATTTTTTGTAATCTTGAAATTTTAATTCAGCTTCTTCATGAGTATCACCAATTATAACTGTTACTAAAGTTAAAAATTTTAAATCTTCAGGGTTTCTACCATATTTCTCCTTTGCAATGGTTTTAATATCCTGGATATTTAAACCTAAAGTTTCTGGTGTAAAATTTGTTAAGAATATAACTTCTGCATTTCTTGCTGCAAAATCTTTCCCCTCTGATGATGCACCGGCTTGTAACAATACTGGTAATCTTTGTGGTGTTGGATGTGTAATTGAAGGTCCTGGTACTTTAAACCATTTTCCCTTGTGATTAATCTTTCTAATCTTTTCAGGATTTGAATAAATTCCAGTTTTAGGATTTTTTTCAACTGCATCATCTCTCCAACTTGATAATAATAATTTTGAAACAACTTGTAAATATTCTTCAGCTCTTTCATAACGTTCAGTTCTTAATGGTAAATTTTCATTATTTAATAAATTTCTAGCTGAACTATCTAAATAACTTGTAACTATATTCCAACCAACTCTACCTTTAGTCAAATGATCCAATGTGGCTAATCTTCTAGTGAAATGATATGGTGCTTCAGAAATTGTACTAAAAGTAATACCAAATGATAAATTTTTAGTAACACTAGCTAATAATGAAATAATTGCACTTGGTTCAATAACAGGAAATTGAGCACCTGATTTAGCAACTGGTTCGAAATTCCCAGGTCCATCATAAACATCATAAGGACTTAATACATCAGCTAAAAACAATGCATTAAATTTCCCCTTTTCTAATAATTTAACTAAATCTACCCAATATTCTAATGTATCAAAATTTGATGATTGATCTTTTGGATGTTTCCATAATCCTGGTGATTGAAGACCTGAACATCCCATAGCAAATGCATTAACCACGATTTGTTTTGTCATTTTTGGAAGATTAGTGTATATGAAGATCTAATAATTTAAAAACCACTAGCTTGATGTGGATAATTCATATCTTTTAAAGTTAATCTTACATCACCCTTTTCTATTAAATTCTATAATCCCTGATCTTCTGTTGAGCCAATAAACACTGCTCTTTAAGTCATAGCCCATCATGAACTACCTATTCATCCTCTCATACTCATCCTATTGATCAAATCTTTCACATCAATAACATAATTTTGACCACAGTTTTGATTAAAATTGATTTACGTAATTAAAAATAATGAAAATATCGGTTCGGAAATGAGCCTAAAATTTTAATTTTTAAATAAAGTTAAACAGTTCAAAATTTTGACAGGTTGTCTATCTTTGTTCAATTTTAAATACCATTATAATATACTCAAATGAATAAGTTTCAATGGGTTTTTCATAGAAGAGTTTAATACAATTACTTGTCCATTATGTTATCAGTCGATTGTTGATTCTGCACTTCCCTCAAATTAGCGCTTTTGTTGATTTACTACTTTGTTATCGCTTCGGTTGAGCTTCAATTTTCAAACTGTGGTTCTGAGTCCTGACTCCTGACATTTGACATTTGATAGATTAGATGAGTCTTTAGTGGATACATACGTACTCCATGACAGTGACAGTTTCCAGTGGGCTAAGGGTATTTAGGCATTAGCCTTTCGGTGATTGAATCAGTGAGGCTTGAGAAAGAGTTCCGTTGCTTTGACATTTTTGAATCCACAGTTTCTATACGTACCAATATTGTTATAGATGTATGTGTTTTATGCTCTGGTAATATAATCTTTAACCCATCTAGCATAAATACATCCTTGTTAAATTAGATATCACAATGATTAACAACTCTGATGTGCTCAATTAATCATACATTATCATATCCACATTTTAGTATCTTTCGGGTCGCTTCATCCATATCAAGTTCATTTGTTGGATTCAAAGGGTCTTGATATTGAATATAAATATACCAAAGCATAACCATTAGAAAAATATGATTGAATTTCTAGCTTTTTTTATCCAAGCTATTCATAACATATAATATTGGCTTTCAAAAAGTTCTGTTAAATATCTTCAACCTCTATTGAAAATGAGTAAAGCATCAGATTTATTACCACAAAGTGCAGGTTATGGTGTCTTAGTTGGTGTTGGTGCATTCTTCGCCTTATTTATCATCATTGCAACAAAATTAGCTAAAAAGCATTTAAATGAAGATGCTCAATCAACAGAAATGTTCATGGTTGCTAATAGATCCGTGGGGATTGGTCTAACAGCATCATGTGTTTATTCAAGTTGGACATGGGCTACAGAAATTTTATGGCCTGTTACAATGGTTTATCTTTATGGTGTTCAAGCTGCTTTTTGGTTTGGTGCTGGGTTAGCTATTCAAATTACTTTAATGTCATTATTAGGTATTGAAGCTAAAAAGAAAATTCCGGCAGGTCATACAAGTTTAGAAATTGTTCAATTAAGATATGGTAGAACTGGTCATATCTTGTATACTATATTATGTTTGATTAATAACATTGTCTCTGCAAGTTCAATGATTTTAGGTGCTGCTGGTGCTATTAGTGCTCTTTGTAATGGATTACATATCGTTGCTTCTACCTTGTTAATCCCATTTGGTGTTTTATTATATACCGCCGTTGGTGGGTTAAAATCAACTTTTTTAACAGATTATGTCCATTCATTAATCTTGTTAATTATAATGACATACATTTTAACTGCTTCAATTCAAAGTGAACATATTGGTGGTATTAGTGGATTATATGACAAATTAGTCACAAAGGAAAATGCAGGTGAATTAAGATATATCGAAGGAAACTATAAAGGTTCTTTCCTTACAGGGAAATCTCAAGGTGCTTTATTCTTTGGATTAATCCATTCAATTGGTGATATGGGTCTTACAGTTATGGATTCTTCATTTTGGCAAAAATCTTTTAGTGCAGATGTTAAGGCAAGTGTTCCTGGTTATTTAATTGCAGGTGGATTAATTTATGCAAATGTTTGGGCTTTAGGTATGGTTATTGGATTAGGTAATGTTGTATTGGAAGATAGTCCAATTTTCCCTACTTATCCAAATAAAATGACTGCATTTGAAGTGAATTCAGGATTTGGTTTAATTTATACTATTAAAGCATTATTGGGTAATGGTGCCTTAGGTGGGCTTTTATTAGTTTTATATTTATCAGTTACTTCAACTTTTAGTGCACAATTAATTTCTGTTAGTTCAATTATAAGTTTTGATATTTATAGAACTTATATCAAACCAAATGCAAATAATAAACAATTAATTAATGTTTCACATTTAGGTGTGGTGTTTTTTGGGTTTTTCGCTGCTGGTTTTTCAATAATGTTACATTATGCCGGAGTTGATATGACATGGTTTGGTTATTTTTATGCAATGTTAAATTGTCCTGGTGTTATACCAATGATTTTTTCAATTACATGGAAACATCAAACTAAAACTGCATTTATCGTAAGTCCAATCTTGGGTATTATAGGTGGGTTAGCAGTTTGGTTAGGTACAGCTAATGCTCTTTATGGAGAAGTTTCAATTAAAAGTACCGGTCAACAATTACCATGTCTTTATGGTGGGTTAACTGCATTATTCGTTCCAGGTATTTCCACAATTATTATAAGTTTAATTAAACCTGCAAATTATGATTGGAATCAAATGAAATCACAAAGTGAATTAATTATTGTTCAAGATGATGGATCTTCAGATAATTCAATTAAAGAAAAATCTTCAACAACAAATCAAACAACAACTGAATCTGGTGATTTAGAATCAATAGATCCAAATACGGATAAAATCATTGAAAAATATAGAAAAATTGCATTATTTGCTACTATATTTGTTTTATTGATAACTTGGGTTGTATGGCCATTACCTTTATATCGTGATTATATTTGGAGTGCAAGTTTTTTCAAAGGTAATGCAGTTGTTGGGTTTATTTGGTTGTATCTTGCTTTATTAGTCATTGGTGTTTTCCCATTATGGGATGGTAGACATGCTTTGACTAAAGTTTTTAGAGGAGTTTTCAAACTTAATAAAGATAGAGTACCTACAGAGTAATATCCATGAGATATTATTTAAATAAATGAAGCTTATGTATTGTGATGGAGATTGTATTTGATATCGGCTGCCACAATTTTAACTGACCCGATGTTGATTAGTACTTAGTACATTCAGGTACCAGATTGAATTTTAAAGTATAACAAAGTGCCAAATATACGCCTAGCGATTATCTAACCTTGGCTCTTTCGAGGTATAACCGGTGCCACAATTTTGATTTTTACTCATTATAACTTATTAGATCTTAAATTTTATCTAAATGTGAAAACACAATTTACTGTGGTGTGGGTTTAACCTTCATATAAATACATTGGAAAGATCAAATAATCAATAAATCTTCTTTTCAAAGATGTTTACTCATTAAATCACACCAGAAAGATGTCAGAAGCATCAGAGTTATTATCACAAGGTGCCGGATATGGGGTTCTTATAGGTGGTGGTGTTATTTTCACTTTATTCATTCTTATAACAACAAAACTAAATAATAAATACTTGAATGAAGATTCCAAATCAACAGAAATGTTCATGGTTGCCAATAGATCCGTTGGTATTGGACTCACTGCAAGTTCAGTTTATTCAAGTTGGACATGGGCTACTGAATTATTATGGGTAACAGCAATGGTATATAATTATGGAGTTCAAAGTGCATTTTGGTATGCAGCTGGTGGTTCAATTCAAATTTGTCTTCTTGCAATTATTGGAATTGAATCAAAAAAGAAAATCCCAACAAGTCATACATGTTTAGAAATTGTTCAATTAAGATATGGGAAAGTTGCACATATTCTTTATATGATATTATGTTTGATTAATAATTTAGTCTCTGCAAGTTCAATGATTCTTGGTGCTGCTGCTGCTATAAGTATGATGTGTGATAATTTACATATTGTTGCAAGTAGTTTATTAATACCATTTGGTGTGTTATTATATACAAGTTTTGGTGGTTTAAAATCAACTTTTTTAACAGATTATGTTCATTCATTTATATTATTGATTATATTATGCTATATCAATACAGCTGCCATATCAAGTGATCATATTGGAGGTGTCGATGGTCTATATAACAAGGTTGTATCAAGAGAATCTGCTGGTGAATTAAGATATATTGATGGTAATTATAAAGGCTCATTTTTAACTGGTAAATCTCAAGGTGCTTTGTTCTTTGGTTTGATTCACTCTATAGGTGATACTGGATTAACTATAATGGATTCATCATATTGGCAAAAATCTTTCAGTGCAGATGTAAAGGCAAATGTACCAGGTTATCTAATTGCAGCTGTATTGCTTTATGCAAATGATTGGGCAATTGGTGTTATTTTAGGCTTAGCAAATGTAATTATTGAAGATTTACCAATATTTCCAACTTATCCTAATAAGATGACTGATTTAGAGGTTAATTCTGGATTTGGGTTAATTTATACGGTAAAAGCTTTATTGGGTACTGGTGCATTAAGAGCTTTATTATTGGTGATTTACCTAAGTGTTACATCAACAGTTAGTGCACAATTGATTTCAGTTAGTTCGATTATAAGTTTTGATATTTTTAAAAAATACTTAAAGCCAAATGCAACTAATAAACAATTAATCAGAATAAGTCATCTTGGTGTTGTGTTTTTTGGATTCTTCGCAGCAGGATTTTCAATAATGTTACAATATGTTGGAGTTGATATGACATGGTTTGCATATTTTTATTCAATGATTAATTGTCCTGGTGTAATTCCAATGATTTTCCTCTTAACATGGAAACATCAAACTAAAGCTGCATTTATTATTAGTCCAATATTAGGTATTATTGGTGGATTAGGAGTTTGGATTGGTACTGCATATAAGCTACATGGAGAAGCAACAATCAAGACTCTTGGTGAACAATTACCATGTCTTTATGGTGGGTTAACTGCATTGTTATTACCAGGTTTTGCTACTGTTTTGATAAGTTTAATTAAACCTGCAAATTATGATTGGAATTTATTAACAGATAAAAGTCATTTAATTGCAATTGATCAATCAGAAGTTGATAAATTCGAAAAAGATATCAATGCTGGGTCCAAATTAGATTATAATTTATCTACTTTAGAGATTGGATTCTCAAATGAAAATGAAAATGCAAATGAAAGTAAAGTTGAGCTAGAGTCAGGTTTAAGTCACTCAAATGATCAAAAAATAATTAATAAATATCGTATAATTGCATATGTATCCTCAATATTAATCTTATTGATAACATGGGTTTTATGGCCATTACCTTTATATAGAGATTATATTTGGTCTAAAGCATTCTTCAGAGGTAGTACAATAATGGGTTTGGTATGGTGTTATGCTGCATTTATTGGAATTGGGTTATATCCTTTATATGATGGTAGAAACTCTTTCAAAAGAATATTCAACGGTATTAGGGGTAACGTTAAGGACTTTAGAAATACTAAGAAAATATAACACTAGTGGTTAATATATAGTTAATAGAATATTTGGGTGAATTAAGTGTCGTCCCGTTCAATTTGTATATGATCCGGCTTTCTATATACTGTAGTGATAGATTTTATACTGTTCAGTCTTACAATAACCTTTACTTGAAAAAACAAAAATGTGTCAAATATTAAATACGTATAAAGGGTCTATTGTTATGATCTGATTACCTCTATATTACGTAAGTCATCCGATAATATCCGAAATTATAAAAACATAAAATGATTATAATTCAAAATATATGTAGGAGAACATAGTTTTTTTAATCAATTTACATCAATATTCTATGTTTATTAACTGTATCCAATAGTTTTTAAGTGTTTTCGAGGAGCTTTAAATTTTGTACTTTTAATTTGAAAGTAAAAATAAAATTTTTGAAATCATCTTTATAAATTTTTGAAAATTATGCTATTTCAAAATAGCTTAATTCACCTGAGTTTTAAGTTATAAATATACACAAAGGTTATTTAGATATTATAGACCTATAAAATAACCACTTTCTCTATTAAACCTTGTATTTATATGACATTTAATAAATAATTATTAATAACTTATGTAAGCAACATTGTATGAAACCGTACACTAGCTAGATATAATTGTGACACTATATCGAAGGCTTTCAAAGTAAAGTAAAACTTTAGTAAATTGTGATATTAAATTTGTATCACTGCACATCCAAAAGTATCACTCATTATATAATTGTTATAGCTTGAGACATGTATTTGGATAAGTCAAGTAGTTATTTAGTTTGATACAAATCTACTAGCCATTAATCAAAGTTTCATCAAGATGTATAACTATTTTAGTTTAAAAAAAATATTCGATCGATTTACACATCAGATCTGGAGTCAACTTAGGCGTTGTTGGATGCTATTAATTGTTATAACGTTATATAACTAACCGGAGCTTAGATCAATCTTATACGCCTTAGCTGATATTGTTTTGCAACACTTTAATACAACGTATGCATTGTGCAACCAATTTAATTGCTCACTTTTTCCTGACCTTTCATCTTTATATAGTCTAGGTCCATAGTAATCCTTGAAGGAAATACAGGTGCATCGTAAAGTTGGTCATGTTGTACATAAACGAATTTTCAGCTAGATGAAAACTTGATAAGACTAAAAATTTAAAGCTAGCCCTACCCACTGGAGAAATAAAAGACATAGCCTATCAGCATTAATATCTCATAACTTTACCCTAGTGTACTTCAAGTATATTCATGAATTACTTTTGAGTTGTATTTGCTGTTACAAAAGAATTAATTAGAAACTTGAGTTTTTAGTGCTGTACATTAAAATCTATTGCTTGTCGTGGTAGGGGAAACATTTCATTTCGGAGTTTTTGAATTTGACAAGTATTAAATAAAAGTATATAAACACATCAAAAGTCTTGAAGTTTTTAATATAATCACTTTTTAATCAAATTATCAAATCTTGATTTGAATTAATTCAATTAAACAAAAACAATTATTATTAACAATGCCTTGTGGATGCTCAACTAAACCTGAAGGATGCCAATGTGGTACTTCTTGTACTTGTGGTGAAACTCATCAACCAACAACTAAACATACTGAAACTTGTTCATGTGGTACTGAATGTAAATGTGGTGCTGAATGTAAATGTGAAACCAAATAAGAAAATGGTGGTATTTGATTAGCTGATTACTTTTACAATATATATTTTACTTATGAATGATATGAATAGTTTACAATTGATTTACTTTGTAGATACTACGGCGTTGTTTGATGCGTTTGATGCGTTTTTGATTAAAACCTGATTCGTTTTTACCTTCACTTAAGAGTTTGCTGGAAACCCTTGACTTCCTAATCGGGAAATGAAAACGGATTTAGATGAACATTAGCTGGAGAATTTGTTGATTGTTGATGTTTTTTCAACAGATTTGTATCAACAAGATCTAACCGCCATCATATAATCAGCTTTTAAAAGGGTTTCAACGAAGCGGTTAAAGTGATTTTTAGATTATATGATTGTGGATTGTTATGGCTTCATGTTATCAAAATTTCAGATGAATTGATAGTTTTCCAATCAACCAATTGTATCAACTCCTTTCTCTTCACTTCAGTTAAGTGATAAAGAAAGCGAATATGATCATTGAATTTTGATTCCCACATTCACATTATAAAAACCAAAAGAACTCCCATCATTTCACAATTTTCAATTCAAACCTTCCAAAAGAGAAAAAGTATAATGACAACTTATAAGAAACAAAAACTTGATACAATGCAATTAGAACAACGTAAGTTATGAAAATTCAAAGATGTGAATATGTGAATATTATATTAACTAAATATACCCAGCACACTACGATTATTTCCCAAAGAAGAATGCTAAATTAATTTTAGCTCCATTTTCAGGAGGTCAAGGTAAATCAGGTGTTGAAGATGGTCCAAAGTATTTATTGAGAGCTGGTTTAAAAGAACAAATTGAAAATTTAGGTTGGTCAATTGAAATTGATGATCCATTAAAAGATACAAATTATGAAGAACGTAAAATTAATGATAAAAATGATACTTTTGAAATGTGTAAAAGACCAAAAATTGTTGGTGAAGCTTGTGAAAAAATTTATAAAAGTTGTAAATCTGCAGCTTTAGATGGTTTTTTACCAATAACTATTGGTGGTGATCATTCAATTGGTATGGGAACTGTTGCAGGTTCATTTGCTAAATATCCAGATGCTGGTTTATTATGGATTGATGCACATGCTGATATTAATACTCCATTAACTACAGATTCTGGTAATTTACATGGTTGTCCTGTTGCATTTTTAATGGGATTAGATGATCATTCATATCCACCAGAATTAAAATGGGTACCAAAATGTCTTTCACCTAAAAAAGTTGCATATATTGGATTAAGAGATATTGATGATGGTGAAAAAAAAATTTTAAAAGAAAATGGTATTGCTGCATTTTCAATGTATCATATTGATAGATATGGTATTAATCAAGTTATTGAAATGGCTTTAAAAGCTATTGATCCAGAAGGTAATACACCAATTCATTTGTCTTATGATGTTGATTCAATAGATCCTTTATATGTTCCTGCAACAGGTACACCAGTTAGAGGTGGGTTAACTTTAAGAGAAGGTTTATTTGTAGCTGAAAGAGTTGCAGAAACTGGTAAATTAATTGCATTAGATATTGTTGAATGTAATCCAAGTTTGGGAGTTAATGAAACTCATGTTGTTGATACTATTACAGCTGGCTGTGCAGTTGCAAGATGTGCATTAGGTGAAACTATTCTATAGGATTAAGTATTGTATATTGTATATTTATATTCAAAAATGGTTATTAAAATGTAGTTATGATAGTTACTAATCAATTACATAATACTAACAAGTTCCGAGGACTGAGCCCCCGTATTTTTCCCTTTTAGTCAAGCGCCTCGGCTCAAATTACACATGCTTCAGCCTTCAACAGAGTATTGCAATTTGCCGCCAGCAATTGACACAAAATTTACGCAACAATACACACAACAATTAAGTAACAATTGAGTAAGAAAAGGGTACTTAGACAACATTTGTATGGAGTAATGAAGTCCATTTTAATTTTAGCAATCGAAAACTTTTGAAAATTATTTAATTGTGAATTGAAAATTGTGTCAATTACACATTTTAAAATTATATAGCAACATAACATAAGGGGCTATTTTGCCATTGTATAAATATCTTGGAATTCCCACGTTTGATTTTAACTTCTTACCATCAATCAAACAATCAAATAACAATTGAATAATATTAACAAAATGGCAACAAAATTAAGTATCTTAGCAAGTAACATTCCTGAATCAGTTACAAAGGATAAAATTCATGAATTTTTTTCATTCTGTGGTAAAATTGATAGAATTGAAAATTATGATTTAAGCGCTCAAAATAATGAAGTTGTTTATCAAGTTTTCTTTGCAAATGAATCTGCTGTTTCAACTGCCTTATTATTAAATGGTGCTGAATTGGGTGGTTCTCAAGTTAAAGTTTTACCATTCAATGACGGTAGAAATCCAACTGCAAATGATCCTCCAGCTTATAATGAACCTTTAGCAAACAAACAATCTCAATTGGGTACTGTTAAACCTCCAAGTGAAGAAGCTAAATCCTTAATTGATCAACCAGGTGTCAATTCTGATGATATTGAACAAGAATCAAAACCAAAATCTACAATTTTTGCTGAATATTTATCTCATGGTTATATTTTAGGTGATCAATTGATTGAAAAAGCTGTTGAACATGATAAACAAAATGGTTATACTGATAAATTTAAGAAATTTTTAAAAGATTTAGATGATAAATATCATGTTCAAGAAACTCAACAAACTATAGATCAAAAATATAAAATTAGTGCAAATTTATCAAGATATTTTGAAAAAGCTTTAAACACTGGTGTTGGTAATAAGATCCATGGTTTCTATTCAAATGTTGTTAATGATTCAACTGAAATTCATAATGAAGCTAGAAGATTAGCTGATTTAAAGAAAAAAGAAGCTTTACCTCAACATGAATAAGCTTAACTACAATAGTGTTTATTTGATTTAATTTTTTATTTGATACAATTAATGAGCTTGATGACAATATTCTGATTTATATATTGCAATTTGAATTTATATACACAGTATAATAAAGATTTGATGTCTTTTCAATTAAAAAACTAATGTAAGTCTTATATCACGATTCATATATCATATATGATCCACCATCTATACCTACATGCATACCCATGCAGTCTGGGACACTAGTTAAAGCTTACAGCTATGATTGATAATATAAAAATCTATTAATATACAAAAATTTAAAATCATTATCTATTCCTTAACTGCAATTTCATCTTTTAAATTTAATTTTTCTTTAACTTCATCTTCAATTTTTGAAACAAGATCATTGTTTGATGGTGATGTAGAATTTGTTTTCTGTAATTCCTTCTTGACAGCCATAACATTATCAACAATAACTGCATCAACACCAGCATCCATTTGTAATCTTGCATTTTCAGGATCATTATTTAAAACACCATAAGTAAAACAACATAATCCACTTGCTTTAACAACTTGTGCTAATCTTGGACATTTAACTATTGGTTCAGCTGCACTAACAATACCTAATAAATTCCATTTTTTAGCAAATCTAACTGCACTTTGTAATGATCCACATCTAACATCTGGCATTAAATTTGTACCTGATTCTGTTAAAAATAAAATTGGAATTGATGGTTGTTTTAAAGATAATAATAAACAAGCTTCTGGATGAAATGATGAAAAAATAATATCACGACCTTTTGCATTATCATAAACAATTTGTAAAACTGTATCAATCCAAAAATTTAAATCAATCATAACTTCTCCAATTTCATCTTCTTGAGCTTCATATAATAATGGATATTTACATTCAATATTAAATCCAACATTTTGAGGAATTTTTTTAAATAATTCTTTTAATGTAACAAATGATGAGGCAATTGATGAACCACGTAAATTACCTTTAAATCCTAAATCTTTATAAGTTTTAGTTAATTTCATTTTATCTGAATAAAATTCATCATTTTTAAATTTTTTATTATTTGAATCATTATCATTATAATGGAAATGTGATGCAGATCTTGGTCTAAATAAAATTTCATCATCTTTTGCCCTTTTAGGTTCATTTTTTTGTTCATAAACATTATTTAAATTTAAAAATTGTTCTAATGTTAATTCATGCATTGGAATATCTGCACCTGATTCTGCAACCAAAAAATCATGATAAATAACTGGTACATTATCCTTGGTTAATTGAACATCAAATTCAACATATGATGCACCTAATGAAGCAGCTGCAATGAATGATTCTATAGTATTTTCACCCAATTGTAATGAATTCTTAGCATCCACATTTTTACCAAGACCTCTATGACCAATAACTCTTGTTGAAACTAATGATTTCCAATAAGCTTCAGTACGATTTGAATTCATATTTGGATGATGGAAAGGTGTAACAATTAAAACTTCAAATTTTAATGTACCTAAAACATCAAGAGTTTCAGTTTCAATAATTGGAACAGTGGCAACTTTATTTAATGAACGACGATTATCACCAACTTTTGTATAGATTTTATCTAATATTGCAACAGCACGACCTAAAATTTGTTTATGTTGACCGCCATATGTTGGAACAATATCAAAATAAATGATTTCGTCTTCAGGATTTTCTTTTGATGTATAAATTGTTAATGGTTCAGCATCATCAATTGGTAAATCTAAAACATGTGGTGGTTCATTTGGTTGTGATTTAGCCCTAACAACTAATGATAATGCAGTATCTAATTCAGTAGAGTGAACTTTTGAAATAGGAACACGATCCAATTTAATAGCTTCAGTGCCTTCTCTTGTATCATTTGAACCCAATGTGATTAAGATTACAGATTGATCTGTTAAATATTTATGACCAAATGATTTAACAGGTTGTGGAACGGTTTGGTCATCTTGTTTAGGAGTTTTAGGTCTTATAGATTTATAAATTTCTTCCTTTTGAGCAGTTGTTGTTGATTTGTGAATTTTATCAATTGAAGAATTTGAAGAAGAAATTTGTTGTAATTTATCGATAGAACCATCTGAACCATTTGATTGATCTAATTGTTGCAAGTGATTATAATTAATTGGCCTTAAAATATCCGCAATTTGTAGATGACCTCTTAGACATGCATGTTCCATTGGTGTCCACCCACTTTCATCTTCTTTTGAATAAATAGCTCCGTATTTTTTCAATAATACAACAATTTCATATAAACCTTCAACTGCAGCAATGAAAATTGGAGTCCAACCAAATGAAGCTTCACCAATTTCTGTATTTGCACCTTTTTCTAATAAGAATTCAACAGTTTTACCAAAATTTAATTTTGTGGCAATGTATAAAGGTGTTTCCTTTGTATCTGGATCTCTATAATTAATATCAATCCCTTGACATTGTAAAAGAGTATTTAATATGGATGGTGAATTTAATCTTGAAGCTAACAAAATCAATCTTGGGGATGTTAAAGTTTTGTTTGAATTTGCAACTAATACTTCAACAGTTTTTGGATGGGTTCCCAAGACGGCTAGATGTAATGGTGATAAAGATTCAGCATCTCCCCAAATCTGTAAACTATCCACAGAGATGGTTGCATCCCATTCATTCCAAGATTTTAAGAAATCAATTATAATTGTTGTGATTTCCCGTAGACCAAATTGAGCAGCATAATGAAGTGGAGTTCTTCTATAATTATCACGTTGTAATAGAGCAGGTCTTAAATGAGGTGGCAAATTATTCAAAATGTATAAAAGTGATGTTGGTGAGTCATTTGAGTTCACACCATCTGGTCCGAAAGCACCAACCATTCTATAATTTGCATCAGGTAATGCAGCAGGTGTCAAGTTCAAATAATTCATTGATAATAAAGCTGAAACATTATCAGATGATTTTGAGCTTGAAATATTATCATTATTTGATTTTTGGATTTGTTTTCCTAGGGCTATAATATGGTGATGGAAAAAATTTCTACCACTAATATCTGATGGATCACCCAATGAAGGAATAACTTCTAGTAACTTGGAAATACATTTGGTTGACTGCGATAAAGATGCTTTGTTCAATAAAGAAACCAAGATTTTCACTGGAACAAGAACAATTGAACGATACTCAACAATCAATTGATTAATTAATGGTTGTTCATCATCTTTCTCGATAAATCTTTGGTATTTATCTGGGGAAATTGAACCACCACTTGATCTTCTTTTACTTGTTCCATTAGATTCATCTAATTTTGAAGTCTCAACATGTGGTGATAATTTGTTCAAAAAGACATTAATTGAAGATAAATCTTTAATGATATCAGATTCATGAGCAAAACTCAATGGGAAAATTCTTGAATTTAAATAAGGACCTTGTTGAGAAGTACCTGTTTTCTTATCTAATTTTTTCAAAATTTTCACAAATCCACGCTTGTTTAATTCACCAAACCATTTCAGATTTCTAAAGCATGAACGTAATTCAATCAACACACCAATAATTTCTTCTAATTCTTCATGGTCTAAAGTTTCAATATGACCATTGAAAGAATTGATGATTGAAGAGATTTTCTTCAATCTTCTATCATATTCTGAATATTGCTTGTTATAAAAATCATCCACTTTTTCAATATTACGATCTAATGAGAAAAAGAACCCAGCCAATTCACCCTTAACTTGAGAATTATTTAAAGCATCACTCAATTGTAGATCAACAACATCAGGATCTTGTTCTTCAACATCTTTTAATATGGATTTTTGTAAGCTTTTGATCAGTTTTATTTGCTTTTTGAGATCCTTATAGTTCATATAATAATGACTCCATTCTGGAACTTGATGACTTGTGATTCTATTCAAACGGTTAGTAATAGATCTCAGCGGTAAGTTATTAAAGCATCATACGTTTTACCAAATTTCATACTTCTCTTGGTGGAACTCTTTAAGCGTTGACGGGTTCCACTGTGGTCTCTTGAATTCCAAAAGAGAATCAAAAATCAAAAGACCAGTTTTCCGTTATCAATTTTGTTTGATTTTAATCGTCTCTTCACGTTTCAATTTCCACGTGTGAATTTGAATTTGTTCTATGTGCCATTGAAAATTTAAAATTATTACGATTGTGATTAGATAAGGATTACATCAGGCACTCCGGTTAAATGAATCGCGGATATATTGTACTGTGTAAAACATTTATTTCTAATAATTTGGACATAATCCATCTGATTTGACCAGTTTATAAATCTGTTGTTTGTTAGTTTACGATTAAGAGCTGGGAATGTTGGAAATATACTCACATCTTGGACACTGAGTGTGATAAATTGTCTAATTTCTAAAGTTAACCACACTTTAAACATGGCCAACTTATCTTCATTTTTGATCAACTTCTTCCCATTATCACTGAAGCCCAATTGTCTTAATATTGGCAATGAACTGTTAAGAAAAATAGTTAGTGATCTGGCATCCCGTTCAAAAAGGTAAACCATACGCACCTTGCAAAAAGATCTAACGAAGGATCTAATTGTCTTCCAATCCCTTCTAATAATAATATTGCAACAACAACACTGACAAAATCTCCCTCCATTCTAACATGATGTGATCTAACCATCGACAACATTTTTTCTAATAAGTCTCCAATACTAACTGTCCCCAATGTGAATGTACGCTGTTTGATTTTATCAACTAATCTCTCTACTTTTAATGCGAAAATTTCTTCATCAATTGCAGTTTCTGGAGTCTTCGATCTTTCAATCATCAATTCACCAGCTTTATAACCATCAAACTCAGCTAAAGAATTGAACAATGCAATAAAATTAACTCTATTCACTTCATTTAACTCTGTGACAAGCCCTGCATCTATATAACAAACTTCAGGGTGGAAACCATCTATTGATAATTTATTCAATTCTTTAGTTAAATCATCGTTATTATTTGCAACTTTTTTCAAATTTCTTGAAATTTCATCACGCTCATTAACATTTGAAACAATTTCAGTCTGTAACTCATTAGGCTTGACAAATCTAACAAATATATTACCTGCATGTAAGTCTGAATGGATAAAATTATTTAAAATCAACATTTGTAAGAACGAATCAATGACCTTTTCACTGAGCTGTTTTGACATTTCGTCGTTCAAATTTCCTGAATTTTTCAATTCTAAGATCTTGGACATTGATAATCCATTAATATATTCTTCAACAAGTATAGATCTATTTGAAAATTTCAAATATGGTTTAGGAAAATTAACAAATAAATCATCTTTATAATTTTCTTGAAATTTGTTTAAATTCAATCCTTCAATTCTCAAATCTAATTGTAAATTCATCAATATATCAAAATTTCTAACTTCGTCAGGTAATGATAACCATTCCATTGTAGGGATTATATCAATTGCATTTGCGAAAAAATTCATAATTTTCAAATCTCTTTTAATCTTTGTAGCAGCATTTGGATGGATAACTTTAATTGCAACCTTTTGATTAGGTTCTGGAATATTGTCATCATTTGATATCAATGAACTCAATCCAAATAAAGATCCTTTTCTTTTAGTAGCAGGCTGAAATTCATCAATATTCTCAATTAGTTTTTTAGATAATGTTGCTAAATAAACTTGTGCTATGGCACCAACACCAACTGGATTTTCATTGAATTCTTCAAAAATTTCATCAAATGGTAAGCCACCAAACGATTGACTTAAAATTCTTTTAGTATATCCAATTGAATGTTTTTTAGCATTTGAATGTAAATTTCCTAATTCTTCACAAAATTGTTGTGGGAAAATATCTGTACGTGAAGCGGCCCACTGTCCAAGTTTTATAAAAGAAGCACCAGCATTCTCTAAACTAAATCTTAAGATTTTATACCATATTATACTACCACTTCTCTCATTATTTTGTAATGGATCTTTTTTACCAAACCAACTGACAGGTATAGTTAAGATAATTGGTAAGAAAATTATAGTTAGTTCAATAAATCTTCCAACCGTTACCAGTGGTTCCCATATATAATCATGAAATGTGAATCCAATCTTGAAAATGAACCCTAGTTTCCTTGATAATCTCTCTTTACGATATTCTTCCACTTCATCTTCTAGTTCTTGTTGAGAGGATAAGAATAGTCCGTTTTCATAAGTGTCACCTTTTGGATTTGGTTTTAAGTCAGTTGCAGGCTCTAGCTGTGATGTATATTTAAGGATGTCATTCTGTATTAAGCTTGATTTGTAGTTATGATATGAAATACCTAATGTTACTGAAACACCAACAGTTATTAGTGTTTTAGAAAGTTTGGGTTTGTGGGTTATTATGGATGACTGGAAACCTCTTCTTTGGATAATATTTCTAATTGAATGTGTCCTTATACGAAAGACTCCAGAGGTTTTATGAAACATTGTGTTCTCAATTGAATAAATATAGTTGATGGGAACTTTGAATGGGGTTGATTCTAATTGAATTTGGTTAGATCTTTCTGATAAACAGAGCGAATCCTTCAAGTTGTGTTTACTTGCTCTCTAAGCTTATCCCGAGTCCAGACACAGACAAAAATGGCAGATATACCCAATTTTTGAAAGCTACAATTCAACAAAAATTCATTAACATTTTTATATTTACGATACAATTTTGAATAGATATTTCCATTATAGTTGTTCATCTTTGATGACATCAATAAGCCTGTTTTGAAATGTTAGTATTTCTTCGAATTTTTTTTTTATCAAATAAAGCAACAAAATACATACCAATCCAAACCTTCAGTCAAACCTTCACCTTTTATAGCACTACTTGCAACAATACTCCAACTTCTATCCTTTAATTCCACTAGATTCAAAGCTTTAGAAACTTCAGCTGCGGTTAAAGCACCAGGCTGATCTTGTTTGTTAGCAAAAACTAATAATGCTGAATCCGCCAATTCTTCTTCACTCAACATTAAATGTAACTCTTTTGATGCAGTATCTATACGCTCTTTATCTGTGGAATCAACAACGAATATGACAGCTGCTGTATTAGCATAATAACATCTCCAATACGGTCTGATTGATGTTTGACCACCAAGATCCCAAACGTTTAATTTTAAATTCTTATAACTCAATGTTTCAACGTTGAAACCAATAGCTAATATTTGTTAGTATTCAAATCTCATTGAGTTTCACTATGAATGGATTCACCAATAACTTACTTGGTTTTGTATTGATAACTTCACCAATCTGTCAAATTTTTGTTAGTATCATAATATTGTTTCAAGTTTATTTATAAGACATACCTGAAGCTTATATAAGATTGTAGTTTTACCAGCACCATCTAAACCTAAAATCAAAATTCTTATTTCTTTATTGACACCCCATAATCTTCCAAATATCCCACTAAATATATTTCCCATGATTAGTGGTTCTAATTATTCAAAAATTATATTATTAATAATACTTTATGGCGTTTTCGGAAATGGACCCTTAATAACTTGGTTATTTCAATAAAAGATAAGGAAACAAACTAGACTGTGATGTATTTGTATTATATGGTTGTCAAAAACGTATCTGAACTTATCTGATCACTTCAAGACAATTGGTTTTGCTTGTTTATTTACTTGTTGTGTTGAAGTCGGCATCATCAACATTTCGATTTTGAACAACAGATCAAAAAATGAAATCCGGTTTGCGCAGCATAGCGGCTAATTCTTGGAAGTAAACATAGAGGAAACAAGTTTTAATTTGTTCGATTTATATAGTGGTTTTATATTTTGAAGTCAGGGAAGATAATTGTCGGTTTTGAGATGTAGACTCGAAATCTTTGTAGATTGCTACATTTTACCTGTTATGATACCATGAATTGTAACAATTCAATTGTGAATCCTTAATATAATAGAAAAATTAATTTAGATGTATTATTAAATGTGATTAATATTATGATTCATTATTCATACTATGCTTTATTGTTTGTCCGCCCCTTTATGGCTCAAGATGGTTTTAATCATGTCATTACCCAACTTAGTAGCTTCCTCAAAATTTGGTGCAAAAAATTCTTGTGTTGCTTCAAATTCACGACGATATAATTGGAAATCACCAAATGAAACTAAGTTACTCCAATTTCTAGCGGATATAGTAAATTCCAAATCATCTGGTCTAAATGCAGTTTCTGTGACACCTTCACTCAATGCACTTTCTAATAATCCTGGAGTACAAAACAAATATTCTGAAACACCCAATAAAATTCTAAACAACGGTGTTGAACAAATCATATGATCATATGGCACTATACCAAGTTGATACCAACTATCAACAATAGCTAATAATGAAAGGTGTGAATTTGGTTGACGTGGACCTGGAGGTTCTCTATTTAATGAAAATTTCTCTAATAATTTATCATCCAACAGCAGCTCATGATCTTCACCTAAATGTCCAAACACAAATTCTTTTGCTTTATATAATCTTTCTCTTAACTCATCATGTTTACCTTCAATTATAAGTTTAAATAGATCAGTTGCAGATTGTGAATATTGCATGATTTGTTTGTGAGCTGAGCGATTCGTTATAGCTAAACCCGCATAAACATGCCATTTATTTGAAAATATTCTCAATGATATATTTATTTTAGCGTTTTCTAATCCACCAATCCATCTTGTACTTTTCCATGGATAATATTTCATTTTATGCCATGCGACACCCATACTTAAAAATGCTGCATGTGTAACAGCTTGTGTATCAGCAGTGATCTTATCATGCTCATCAGCCGTCAACTCAACAACTTTAGACTTTAAACATGATACTAAAGACTTCACAAAATTCACTGATTCCTGTGATGCTCTATGATTAATAATAACCAATGGTTGACCCGTTGTATTAACTTTTGGTCCATGTAAAGAGTGAACACTAACAATATCAACATCTTTTGGTAAATACTCTTCGAATGCTTCAATCTCTGGACCTTTACAACTTGTTTGACCACCTACTATAGCACCAACTTTTGTTGAAGGGGCATAAGCTTTAACTATATTCTTAATGTTCTCAGCTTCAACACTATAAATCACGTAGTCACTAACTCTTGAAACATGATGTCCATTCAATAAAATTTCAAATTGTTCATCCTTATATTTGGCCTTAGTTGATTCAAATTGGTCTTCACGATCACATCCAACAACTTTCCAACCATCTTGAGAAAATCTTCTAGCATAAAGTAAACCCATATCACCAAGACCAATAATCCCGATGATTTTGGAATTCTTCCATTCAAGCAGCAAATCTTGTCCAATAGCCATATTTGTTTCTCAAGCAATTATAAAACCTAGCTTAAGTAGTCAATATCTCTATTCAATGATAAAATGGCCAATGTAAATAAAATACTTCAATGTGTCAAAAATTAGAAGTCTTTCGAGTAATTCTGCTTTTGTACGAAGCCAAAAAAATTACCATGAGAGAAATTCGCGACTTCCTTCAACAATTATATAATATATTACTAATCATATTAGTTTTGTAGCTGGCATATACTATTATCTATATTTACCTCGTATTATACTGGATTCATGGATCAATAATCACCATCGACATGAGCTGGATTATACATTATACACTTTACTAGTACAGTTTTCTCACAGTGCCAAGTACCATTAATATAATCACGAACCACGAGTCATGACCACTATCTAGTAACTGGCAAGTTGTAATTATGGATCGCAATTTGCAAGCATAATGTGAACAATAACCAGGTTATTTATTTTTCCTGACTCCCTCATGAATTGACCGTCTATATTCTATGCCTCAGCAATTTAATAATTATACTCATGATATTGCAAAGTTCAAACTTCTGAGATGGACGAAGTTGAATGAGCTACCAAGCTTCAAAGTCGTAGCAGCCAAGTAAATTATATGACTAGAGTACTAGAGTAGCAGTAGTAGCTAAAAATACCACACCATTAACGA